CTTAAACCCTACATGACCTTAGACCCTACATGACATTAAACCTTACATTACCCTGAGCTCAACAGGGCCCCAAGCACTCCAGGACCCTAAATCCGACGTGGCCCCCAACCCGACATGGCCCCAATCCCGACAGGACCCTTAAACCCTAAAGGACCCCAGGACCACAACCACCAGAGGGCCCCAAACCTAACGCGTCACTAACCCCCCTCGGGGCCATAAACCATACAAAGCCCCTCTGAGGACACTTAGCCCTCACCCCTCCTCCCTATCCCTCCCCATCCCTCCCTCTCCCCATCCTGTCCTTACCCCTACCCTCCTCCTTCCCCTCCCCCTCCTCCCACCCGCCCCTCCAGGCATGTAAAAATCAAATTGTTAGCAGGTTTATCGGTTCGGCCCCCCAGGGCCCCGATCGGGTTCCGCATGGTGAAATGTTAAAGGGGGGTCTTGTGTTTTCGAGCCGTCGTCGTCGTAGTCGTCGTCGTCGTCGTCGTCGTCGTCTTCATACCCTTCGCGGGCCTGTAACCCCCTTGGGGAGACCCACCTTGGGCCCGTTCTTGACGGCCTGCTTCGAGGTGCTCTGGACCACCTGGCCCTTGTCCGTGGGCGGGGGCTTGGTGCCCTTGCCCACGCCCCTGCCCTTGCCCGTGCCCTTGGTCGTGCCCTTCCCCCTGCCTCTGCCCTTGCCGCCCGTGTCCTTCTTGTCAGCTTTCGCTGCCAAGTGACTCCCTGCAGCCTTCGCGGAGGCCAACATCGCCTCCTCCAGCGCATCGGCCTCATCCGCAGCTGCTGCGCCAGGTACCTCGGCTCCACTGGGTGCTGCATCGGCACCTTGACTCCCTGACCCCTGCGAGTCAACCACGGGGGTCAGCGACGCGGTCCCAGGGGACGATGCGGCAGCCATCGGCAAAGTCTCGGCGCTCAGCGTACCGTGGCTCTTGGTGGCACTCGCCGTCGGCCTCAGGTCCTTGAAGTTGGCCAAGCCACAACCGTCCTGAGGCTGGCCACCCTGGAACATCGCCCCGAAGTTCCTCAGAGCTTCGATCTGCTGGAGCATCGCCCCGAAGTTCTGCAGGTTCTGGGCAGTCAAGCTGAGAGGGCCCCCAGCCGACGGAGCTGGCGAGGCGAACGGCACAACGGCCGTAGACGTAGGTTGCTGGGTCTGGAGCGTGGAGTGCGACCTCTTATACCCGAAAGCACTCGATGCCTTGTCGAGCGCAATCGGCGTGACGGCGCTCGGCGGCGCCACAGGCAACCCCTTGCCCTCGTAGGCGAAGTCCAGCATTGAGCGAGGGAGCTCCGAGGGGAGCACGGGATACTTTACCAAGTGCGTGCCTGGCCACTCGTTCTGCGAGTCCAGTGTCTTGATCGCCTTCTTGAGGGCCTTGGACCACTGCGTCTTCGTCTCGGCTGAGATATCGGACATCTCTGGAGGGAGGCCCACGAGAAGCACGATTGCAACTCCACGCTTCATCGTCGGAATGCTGGGGCAAGTGAGCCCTAGGCGCCAGAGACGCTGGGCCATGTAGTCAAGCTTCGGGGTCACCGAAGCCGTAGGGTCCTGGAGGAAGGTCCAGTCGGCCTCGGTGAAGTACTTCTCCATGGTCAGCATCGTCTGGTTCGGCCTGGCCGAACCTGTTAGGGCCTTGCCCTTCTTCTGGGCGCAGTTGCCCAAGACTGTAGCCAGAGTAGCGCGCTGCTCGGGTGTCCACGGGGAGTGCAAAGCGGAGACCTCGGCAGAGACTTCCGTGGCGATCTCGAGCGTGATGCCGCTGGTATTCTGGACGTCCAGCGAGAACGCATCCGCTTGCGCCTGCATGATCATGGAGCGGTCTAAGCCCGCGTTCACTTGGGCGGTGGCGAAGGCCACGCGCTGCCTCAAGTTGGCCACGAGGGTATGTGCCACGTTCGTCTGGTCCGACATCCTCCGCGACCGTCGGAAGACGTAAGGTGAACTTAGAAGCGCTAAAAGCTTGAGCCAAAAACGGCTACGGGTGGTGGTCCATGACCAAACTTGCGAGCTGTTGCCATGTGTCTATTGCTGAGCATAGCGTAGCATAACATATGCGGTCAGTGCCATAGCACGCCGTGGACATAGCCATCAACCCGTACCGCAGCATAGCATAGCATACCATTACCATGTGTACATTGTTGTAAAGGGCACCCCCATTACACATCGCTGGGGCCCCCGAGCGAGCATGGCATAGCATAGCGCAACGTATAAGGGCAGCGTAGCATAGCACAGCAAAGCGTGTAAGGGATGACTTGCATAGCGTAGCATAGTGTAACACAGTGACTTGAAGCTCGGTTTCGTCTGATCTGGAGGCCGCCGATCACCCCCCACACCTGACACTTGTGATGTTTTTCGAGCCGCGCCGAGTTCGGATGACAGCTGAGAGTGGAATTCAGGCTGACGGCTTGAACTCCCCCTGGGGAGTTCAAGCCACGTGCTTGAACTCCCCCTGGGGAGTTCAAGCCACGTGCTTGAACTCCCCCTGGGGAGTTCAAGCCACGTGCTTGAACTCCCCCTCAGGAGTTCAAGCCGCGGCTTCATAACTTCTTATTGTTTTCTTTTATGTCATAGAGGCTGACGGCTTGAACTCCCCAGGGGGAGTTCAAGCACGTGGCTTGAACTCCCCAGGGGGAGTTCAAGCACGTGGCTTGAACTCCCCAGGGGGAGTTCAAGCACGTGGCTTGAACTCCCCCTCAGGAGTTCAAGCCGTGAGCTCGATCTCGGTGCTGTCGTGTCTGGGCAGTGCGACATCATGGCCAAACCCCTTCAGGCCAAGCCACCCCAGGTCGCCCGTACATACATTCATGAGCGTATCAGGAGTATGTTTTTCCATGTACCACTCGCTTCGCGACTACAGCCGACGCCCCCTACTAGTCAGCTTACACTGCCACGCACGGCGCACTTTACTAGTTATGTATGGTTCCTAGCATCTGACCCCAGCGTGTGCGCACCTAACCATACAACGAATTCTAGATCAACCTGCAATGCATCAGAAGCAAAATGCTTGCGCTCACCTTTGGTGCATAACTACCTAGACCTATCGGGGCGTGTCAGTGCCTTCGGGTTCTGAGTGGTGCTGGACCTTATACTCTGCCAAGACGCACGCAATCTTCTCAGCGGATGCCTGCATTTGCTCAGGGGTCCCCAACATGATCGGCATAGACTTGGCTACCCACTTAGACTTATCACTGCTGTAGTACTTAATAGAGAGGTGCCGCCTGTATGGAATCCAATCGATATCTTCGTTCTCTAAGTCTGGCTTCCACTGCGGGCCATGCTGGCTCTTGGCGTCAAGTAGCAATACCTCTAGGTTCTCTTTGGTCAACTCCATGCGGAGCTTAGTCCTGGAATTAGCTGAAGTCCTGACGGTGAGCGAATGCTGGCAATTGTCGGAGTCCGTCACGTGGACTTCGCATGACCCTTGGGAGGGGGGATGGCGGGGCTTGGCTGATCGACACCAATGCACCGCATCCATATGCCCATCCTCATCCCTCCCCTCCTCCTCTGCTCCTCCTTATCCACCTTCTCCTCCGCTCTTGCCTCACCGTCGCTCTCCATCCCCCTCCCTCCTCCCACCCGCCCCTCCAGGGCGGTAACCATCAACAAAGAACCTGGCTCGGCTCCCCAGGGCCCCGATCAAGACTTTCGGGTCCATGGATGCGCCTGGAATGGCGTCGATCATCTCCTTCTTCGGGCGCTTCGTGAGGGGGCCCTCGGGGACGGGTTGGTCGCCTGTCTCGGCGTCCTGCTGGGCCTTGGCCTCTTTCATGAGCCTATCGCACTCCTCGGTTCGCGCCCTGATGATGGCATCGAGCATCGAGAAGCTACCGCCAACGTATTTAGTGAACTTGCTATCGGTGCGATCGATCGTGATGTACAGTCTCTCTTCGAACTCCTCTTTCAAAGCAAACCAGCTGGATGCTGTGGACGCTGGCTTGTCGTCTTTGGTGATGGCCACCCAGTCCCCAACGATCGAAACCATTGCTATCGGGAATCGACACTCACGTTCGGGCACCGAGGGAAACTAAATTCTCGAGCTCAGAGTGCGTCGGGCAGAGGCCGCATGAGCAAAAGGAAAGAAAGGCAAGGAGGGAGCCAAGGGGGGGAGGAAGACGAGGATAAGGCGGGAGAGGGTGATACGATAGAGGACGAGGCCGAGGAAGAGGAGGATGAGAAATGGGATGGCGATGACGAGGACGATGGGCGAGGGTAGCGACCAGCGGCCGTCGGCAGCACCGTCGGCCTAACAGAGGGGCGGCCAACACTGCGTCGAGTGTCTCGCTCCCCTCCTCTTCCTCCTACTTTTCTTCCTCTTCCCCGTCCTGAGCCTTCTCCTCCTCCTCCTCCTCATTCCCCCTTCCCGTTCCAATGGATCCGAACATCGTGATTGTGTGTCCAAGCTTTTCGGGGTCTCCTCCTCCTCCTCCTCCTCCTCCTTCTCCTCCTCTCTGCTTCCTCCTCCATCCTCGTGCTCTACCCCGCCTTCCATCATGTCCGCTGTCTTCCCACGTGATGTGTATTTTCACGTCTCCATCTCTCGAGGGCGGAGGTGCCTGACCCAGTCGACGTATCCGACTGTGCGATCTGCGGCCCACAACAGATTCACAGCAAGCCCAGGGGCTTGAGGCAACAAAATTCCTTCCTACTAGTGCGCCACCCCTTGAAGCGACTTAGAGGATCCCGAGCCGAGTGGCTCACGTGTTCCCAAACACTTCAACCCTGACCTATATACTTAAGCGTGGCAACCCCCAACTCTGGCCATCGCACGGGCCACCTCCGAGTCTGTGCGGGGCGGGGTGGGCGCACTCATTAAAGCTGATGTTCACTTACGGCATAGGTTCCAGCAGGTGCCACCGTGCAAAGGATAAGGGCGAACTCGAATGGGACCCGAACCTCATCAACTATGATTTCACGGCGAATCCAGGGATGGCGACCACTGGCAAGAGGGGGGGGGGGCAAAGCGCCTGAGTAGTGAAGCCGCTCATGGCTACTACTTCTTGCTGCTAGACCCAGAAGGGGAGGCACTCTCCTTCGAAGTGGTCGCAGCCTCGGCGCGCTGGCGGTACAATTTGGCACCCTGCTGAATTGGCTTTGTGTTCCACAAAGCGGGGATAGGAACCTCGATCTTGCACACGCCGTCCTTCGCAAGACCCAGCGTGGTCCGCTGCACCTCGATCCTGATAGTGCACGGCGTCATATTTACATCAGATTTCGAGTCGGTTGCGGGGACGTTCCAAAATGGAATCACCAGCGGGTCTTTCTTGAGCGCCCGCTGTTCGGGGTAGAATACACACGGGAGCACATAGGCACTGCAGTGACTGGGAACATGCGGAAAATCTTTCACGACCACGGCGTTCGCAGGCATTTTATTAGTGGGGCCCACGTGGCACCATAGAGACAAGGGGATTAAAAACAACTGGTTCTTCTCATATTTTTTCATGGCGATGACCTTATGGACTTCCACCTTAGGGTCCACAGCGTAAGTGACCTGCAGGTTGACAGACTTGCTCGCAATCCTGTAGGCGTGCATCAAGGCCAGCCTCAGCTGGGCCTGTGTGGCCATGAGCGACATCTCGGCGTGGTCCTGCGGCCACCACGCGTTCTCACTCCATCCCCCCCTCCTCTCTCTTCGTCCCGTCCCCCCTCCCTCCTCCCTCTCCTGCTCATTCCTCCCTTCCCCTCCTCCCTCCTTCCTCTTTCTCGTCCTCCCTCGCTTCCTCCCTCCCTCCTCCCTCCCCTCGTCCCTCCCCGCCTCCCTCTCCTCCCTCCCTCCTCCCTCCCTCCTCCCTCCCTCCTCCCTCCCTCCTCCCTCCCTCCTCCCTCCCCTCCTTTCCCCCTGGTGCTGCCTGCTGCTGCTGCTCCTCCTCGCCCTCCTACTCATGATCTTACTTATGTTCATGCTGCGACTTATCGCATCTCCTCTCCTCCCTTTCCTCCGTCCAGTAAGGGAAAAGGGAATGCGGCGGTCCAGCACGCCGTCAAAGCCCACCACCGCGTAGTTGTGGGTCACCACTTTCGGCACCACCTCGGATGGCCCCCCCGCCCCTCCAGGCCGGCTTATCGGTTCGGCTCCCCAGGGCCCCGATCGGATTCCGTAGGGTGAAATGTTAAGGGGGGGTCGTGTGTTTTCGAGTCGTCGTCGTCGTCGTGGCCTGACCTTGTAGAGGTCCACCAAGTCCCCAGTGGAGATCTTGATGGAGCCGTCCGTGCCGTCCTCGATGTCGTCCTCGTCGGCCTCGTCATCGCCGCACTTGCCCCTCTTCTTGGACTTGGACTTCATGACGGGCGGCTTCTTCCCATCCGCCTTCTCGACGTCGCTCTCGCTCAGAAGTCTCACCTGCGAACCTACGATGCACTTGATGATGTACTTGTCGCCCTCACCCTTCTCCAGGGGCGTCTTCAGCGAAACGGTAGCTCCCTTGATGAGGCCAAGCTGCTTGAGGCGGCCGCCGTCGATGCCGTCCGCCAGCTCTGTGAAGCCAGTGGAGCCGTCAGGACTTCCCCCCTTCTTCTTCGGCTGGGGCTTCTCGGGAGAAAACGGCGGCTCCAGATCCTTCGTCTTGGGGGCCAGCTCGTAGATTCTGGCCAAGAAGTCGGCGCCGACAGCCTCGAGCGACGTGTAAGCCTGCACGCCAGGAGCGGCTTTCTTCATCATCATCATGACTCCGTTGACCTCCATGGCCCCGAGCTCCTGGACGAACACCGACCGCTTGAGCGAAGGATCGGTCTTCTGAGCATGATCACCGAACCAGGCTGTAGCAGCCTTGATCATGGTGGACAGCTGGATGCACAAGCCGCGCTGCTTAGTCGCCAAGGCGTTGCAATCACTACCGTTGATGAGCCTGCTCATGTTGGTGCCAGGGGTGACGAACTTCGCTGGCGACTTGATCGCAGCTTTCAAGAGTGAGTAGATCGTCTCGGGGCAGCTTATCAGGTCCAAGTTGGCCAGGACTTTGAATGCCGATCCTGGAACGCATCGGCGTGACTGCAGCGTCTTGCACCACTCGTCGAGGTTCCTCAAGAGCGGCGCGTCGCTGCCTCCGCTCCACTTCTCCACGAACGAGCACATGTCACGCGCGTGGCCACGTAAATGGGAATGCTGGCCCTCGACGTGTCTCGCGACCAAGTCCCACATGAACGCGTGCTGTACCTGCATGTTGCGAGCGCCGAGCCGATGCATCTGCATCAGCGCCTGGACGTCCGTCGTGACCCGCCTAGTGTTGTGCCCTCGGTTGGCCGCTGCTTGGATGAAGTCGGCCAGGTGAGGGCAATGATGCTCCACTTGCCAGCGGATGATCGTCCACTCGAGCCCCGACGACACTGCTGCCGCGTAGGGCGGGTTGATGGCGTTCACCTTCGGGTAGGCTAAAAGTTTCTTATCGTTTCTTGTCTTTCGTCCTCTTCCTCCTCCTCCTCCTCCTCCTCCTCCTCCTCCTCGTCCTCTTATCCTCATTCTCCCCCCTCTCCCTCCTCATCATCATCCTATCCCAGCTCATTTTCCCCCTCCTCCCCCTCTTCCCCCTCCATATCCTTCTTCCCGCCCTCGCCCATCCTCCCAGCAGCTCCTCAGTTTCTTTATCATCATCTTCCTCCCCCCCCGCCTGCCCATCAATCCCCCTCCTCGGTGCCTCCTCATCGTGCCCCCCAAAACTCTGCCTACGCCCCTTGCTATGCTATGCTATGTTGTTGTCTTTTGTATGTTGATGTTGTTATTTATAACGTCAGGTGTGCTATGTATTACATGTAGCGCGTGCGTTCTTAATGTTTGAGGGGGGGGGGGGGGTGTTTTAGTTGGCCCCTCCAGCGACCTTCTCGATAGCAAGCTTCCCGTTCGTGGCAGCGGCCTCGACGGTGGTGCTGCACTTGTAGTCGATGGCGTTGAGGCCCCCATTCGTGTGGGAGCAAGACACAGAAACAAAGGACATGTCCTCCTTCAGGAGCGGCCTCAGCATGCCGTTGGAACTCTTGGCCAGGTGATCGTTGAACAACCACTGCGTGTCGTCTTGGGGGTTCACCTCGAATGCGACGGCGTTCTTAGTTTCCGAAAGCACAAAGCCGTCCAACAGAATCTGCGCCAACAAGTCGTGGACGTCGCACGGGTCGAGGCCGATCCCGTACCTGTTCCGCATGTGGCAGCCCATCTTCTTGGGGAAGACAAAGCTGACGTAGGCCAAGTCCTTCTCGATGAGAAGCTTCAAAATGGCAGCGAGTTTCGTCTTCGTCTGCGCATCGTCGGCACTCGATGGGTTGTCATTTGTCAGTTCGTTGATGTATGGCGCCACCTCCTGCAATGCCGCCTCCATGTCGAGACTGGCTGAAGGTGAAAGAGACCGAGGACCTGGCAAGGATCGTGACTGCCTCAAGGAGTCTGGGCCACAACGGCTATGTCGAGCCCCCCACCCCCAAAACGCGATGGGTATATCCCAACATAAGACACGGACAACGAAATTCTGCCGACCTGTGTCAGGCTCATGCGTGGGAGAAATGGAGACATCACGACCTGAAGCCTACCAACACCAGAACTGTTTTCAATGTTATGTTGCATAAATCTGGTGTTCATGTTGTCCAAATCTGGCACCGTTGGCGCCGAAATCTGAAGTTGTGGTCCCAGAAATTTGTTGTTGTTGTCACCGAATTATGATCATTCGATGCTGTTTTTGTATGTCTATCTTTGGTTAGGGAGGTTAGCTAAGTGAGGTTAGCAATTTGCTAAGTGAGATAGCTAAACTGCCAAACGCAGCCCTATCCACCATAGTGCGGATGTGCTATCTACTTACTAAGCACGTCTAACTTGCCTTGTGGAAGAAGCCAAGATAGCTTAAGTCACTCAAGTACTTGGCCGAATGCCCAACAAGGATAGGGAGGATTCAGGGCGGGATGACTACGTTATATCTTAAGATAGCTTGGTTATATGTTAGGTTATATGTGCTTCTATCCTATGCAACTGCTTAGCACGACCCTCGGTCACCCCAGTAAGGATCATCCCTCATCATCATCTCTCTCAGGTGCCGGTTCCAGTTCCGGTTCCGGTTCTGGTTCCGGTTCCGGATGGGGATCATCCCAATCCGTCATCCCTACCGCTGGCAGCTTCCCCGAGCATCAGAAACTACAAGATCTTGACGTCTTACAACTCTTGGAGGTAAGCCTCCAATAATTGTCTCGCCTCCAATATATGGAGTCGGCAATAATTATTGTAGTTCCCCATATCTTCCCACATGTGTTAGAATACATACATATATACGCATACATACATATATGTCGGCGGTGCCCGGTGCGGAGCGAACCCCCCCCCCCGGTAATCTCTCCTGGGGGGTTTCGAGCTGGCGCCATTCCCGGTGCGAGCCTGCGCGAACCCCCCCGGTTAACACGACCTCCTCTGGTAGGCTGCCCGAACCCCCCCGGTAAGGACGCAACCCCTCCGTAAGCGGCGCGCTCCCGGCACGCGCGAACCCCAGCCCCGACGCGCGAGTCTTACCAGGACGGGCCGGAACACGGCGGCGGCATTGCATCCCAGGGCCGTGCCGGAACACGGCGGCACTGTTCTTCTCTACGCGGCCGTGCCGTCGACCCCCCACAGCGGCTCTCGGGAGTTGCGCCGCAGCCTCTCGTATTGTGGCCACGAGCCACAATACGAGAGGCTGCGGCGGAACAAAGGCGAGCAGACGCGAATAGAGAACACAAGGCGAGCACACGCCACACTTCGACAGGGAGCCACCCTTCCCAACCGCCCCCCTGCCCCCCCCCCAACCCACCCCCCACTCCCACCCCCCCACTCCCACAGGGGGGGGGGGGAGCCCAGGTAGACGCAGTGCGGCCTGCACGAACCCCCCCGGTAAAGCGGCAAGGGGGGGTGTTCTAAGCCGCTGGCGGCACCCGGTGCGGGCTGCACGAAACCCCCCGGTAGTGCACGACCCCCCCCGGTAGTGCTGGGGGGGGGTTCGTGCCACGGCGCACCGCCGACATATATGTATGTATACATATCTGTACACATTCTTAACACATCTGGGCTGGAATGGATTGAACCAAAATGGCGACTGCACGAAGCTTGAGCCAAAATGGCGACTGCACGAGGACGAGGAGGAAAGGAGAGGGAGAGGAAGGGAGGAGCGGCAGCAGGGGGAAGAAGAGCAGAGCAGCAGCGGGGCGACGACGACGACGACGACGACGACGACGATCTTCAAGTTTGGAAAAAGGGGAACTCCTGAATTTCCCTTTTTTTCCAAAGTGCTCCAGACGACGACGACGACGACGACGACGACGACGACGACGACGACGACGACGACGACGACGGGGACCAGTGGACTCCCCGAGAGGCCCCAGGAGCCCCGTGCGACGACGACCACGACGACGACGACGACGACGACGACGACGAAGGTTCTTATCATAGTTTATCTCTCCCTCAGTGTCCCTCCATTCCTCCCTCCTCCATCCCTTTCCCCTTTTCCTCCTTGGCGCCGCCCTCGACAGTTAGCTGGCGCCGCCCTCGACAGCCCAGCCTGCCAAAAGCTTAGCCATCTCCCAGGTATCTTCAGGGGCGTGCCTGAAGGACATCGTGACTCCACCCTTGTTGTCGATCTTCTGCTCGACGGTCGGGGGCACGTGATCCACGTGAGAAATGTAGAGAGCCTGGACGTTCAAGATGACGGATATCTTGGAGATCTCATCCTCACGGCTCAAGGTGTACGACTTCCTGACCCCCAGGTCTGGACCAGGGAAGTGGGCGTCGGGCGGCAGCTTCATCATCACGTCGACGAGCGACGATGGCTCAGCCGCGGCCTTGGCTGCAGTTTTGGGCTTGGCCTTAGCTTTGCCCTTGGCCTTCCCTTTGGCCTTAGCCTTGGCCTTCCCTTTGGCCTTGCCCTTGGCCTTCCCCTTGTCCTTGCCCTTGTGCGTGCCGTCCTTGAGCTCGGCCTCGTCCTCCTCCGCCTCGTCGTCGCCGTCGCCAGGGTGACCGCGCTTCAACTTCGGAGCAGTGGCGGGGATCGCTGGGCGCAAAATGAATTGCCCATCGGGCTCCAAATGAATCCCCATGATCTCCGTGCTGTAGGTCTCGTCGGTGTTGGGGAAATGGGCAACGATGAAGCCGATCTCGTCCACCGTGTACTTGTCGGCGATGACGCACCTCCCGTCGCTCATGAGCATTTTCGCGTAGCAGACGCGGTCTCCCATCACGATGCTCGAAGTGATAGGAACTGGCTCGTCGTCCACCTCGAGGTCGTTCTCGTCGTTGTCGTGCTCGTTGCTTTGGAAACTCAAGAAGGGATTATCGCACTTGGCCCTCGCTTGCTTCGAGGGCGACTGGACGAACTTCTCATAGACTGCAACGAGGCCTGCAGGGTGTTCTCGGGCCTGGTCTGCGGGTCTTGTCAACTTACTCCATTGCTTACGCTTGATCCTCACGTGGGCCAACATGACCCTGATTTTGTAGGCAACCTCGGTGATGCACCTCCTCTCGCTAATCATGCGCGTCATGGCAAGGCCCTTGAATCCAGCATTGAAGTCATCCTCCTCGGACAACGATTTCAGCGCAGACTCGACGGCGAGCTGCGCAAAGAAGCCCCCGCGGACATCGAGAGATATGAGAGGTCCGAGTATGTTGGCAGACCACTTCTCCAACGTATCCGTATCGATGCCTATTTTCATGTCGTCGGGTTTGCGGTTGGGTTTGCCGGCTTGGGTGTTGGGTGTTAGGGTTAGAGTGTCTGGGTCTGGGTGAGGGTGTCATGGTCAGGGTTATATCGTTGTGGTGCTCGACTCATGGCGTTGTGGGTATCATTGCGAAGGTGTAGTTACATGCCAAGTAGGTTAGGGGTAGGTCGGATGAGGGTGTTGGCCTTACAGTGTTCAGGTTAGGATATTCGGTTCACGGTTCGGGCGGTAGGCATAGGGCTACGAGGAAGGCTGGTAGGGTTAGGTCTGCACGGCCAGGGTGTTTGAAGGGGGATAGATTCGGGCAGCGGTGTTAGCGCTATGTTTTCGCAATAGGGCTAGGTTGTTCAGGTGAAGGCGTTAGGGCTACGGTTGGGCTTTACGAGGGCGCAGAGTGTCAGGGTTACAGCGTTAGGGTTAGGGCACCAGGGTTTGGGCGTCGCCCGTTAGGGTCCACGCGGCATGGCCCGATTGGCCCGTTGGGGCGCGCGCTTGTAGTTTTGGATATGGTCGTAATGTAGCGCCCCGCCCGCCCGAACCGACCCGCTCGTTAGGGCCCACCCCGCCCGACCCGATCCGCCCAACCCGCCCGCCCGATTGGGATCTGCCCGATCCATCCCGACCCGCCCGTCGCGCCCTTCTAGGCGCTAGGTTGTTCAGGTGAAGGCGTTAGGGCTACGGTTGGGCTTTACGAGGGCGCAGAGTGTCAGGGTTACAGCGTTAGGGTTAGGGCACCAGGGTTTGGGCGTCGCCCGTTAGGGTCCACGCGGCATGGCCCGATTGGCCCGTTGCGCGCGTAATGTAGTTAGGGTGTCCCCGCCCGACCGATCCGCCCAACCCGCCCGCCCGATCCGCCCTGGGATTGCCCGCCCCATCCCGACCCCCCCCGCGCCCCCTAGGGGCCGCCGTCATTCGGACCCGATCCGCGTGTCAGGGTGATCGCGTTTCAATTCGGAGATGCGCGATATGTCTCGCGTGGTCCGTCCCGCCCGTTAGGGCCCCCCTTGCCCGACCCGCCCGCCCGGCCCGCCCGCGGGCCCGCCCGCCCGACGAGGCCCGACCGACCCGCTGTATCTATCTGCCAGGACTGCTGGGACGTGAGCGCTCGCTCGTGAGGAGGAGGAGGAGGAGGAGACGAGGAGGAGGACGAGGAGAGGAGTAGGAGGAGAGGAGGAGGGAGGAGAGAGAGAGAGGCGGAGGAGGAGGAGGAGGAGGAGGAGGAGGAGGAGGACGAGGACGAGGACGAGGACGAGGACGAGGACGAGGACGAGGACGAGGACGAGGACGAGGACGAGGACGAGGAGGAGGACGCCGAGCAGGCGGAGGAAAAGGAAGGCGACCAAAAAGCCCCCGGGCCCGCACTCGAATCCGCTGGCTCTCGCGCGCGGGTCCGCTGGCTCGTCGGGTCCGCTGGCGCTCGCACGCGCGTCCGCTGGCTCGTCGGGTCGGCTGGCGCTCGTACGCGGGTCCGCTGGCTCGTCGGGTCGGCTGGCGCTCGCGCGCGGGTCCGCGGGCTCGTCGGGTCGGCTGGCGCTCGCGCGCGGGTCCGCTGGCTCGTCGGGTCGGCTGGCGCTCGCACGCGCGTCCGCGGGCTCGTCGGGTCGGCTGGCGCTCGAACGCGGGTCCGCTGGCTCGTCGGGTCGGCTGGCGCTCG